TTTTTTAAGTAATATGGCTTAAAGGCTAAATGGTAATATAATATCACATAAACTACTTGGTACCTTACTAAATAAATAACTGAGAGGAAAACCAAGAAGTAGACTCTGAATTATGGAGAACAAACTGATGGTTCCCAGAGGGGAGGTGGGGGGTGGGAATGGGTGAAATAGGGGATGGGGATTAAGGAGGACACCTGTTGTGATGAGCACCCAGTGATGTATGGAAGCACTGAATCACTACATAATACACCCAAAACTAATACAACACCACAGTAAGTTAACAAACTGGAAATTTTTTGTTAAATAAAAACTTAAAAATAAATAAATAATTGGGGGTGCCTGGGTGGCTCAGTTGGTTAAGCGACTGCCTTTGGCTCAGGTCATGATCCTGGAGTCCCGGGATCGAGTCCCACATCGGGCTCCCTGCTCGGCGGGGGGTCTGCTTCTCCCTCTGACCCTCTTCCATCTCGTGCTCTCTGTCTCTCATTCTCTCTCTCAAGTAAATAAATAAAATCTTTAAAAAAAATAAATAAATAATTGAAGCACTAAAGGACTTTACTACCTGACATCAAATTAACCCTTAGAGTACTTCTTACACCCCAATTTATAAATTTGGCAAATTTATTTCTGCTTTCCCCTTATAGTAAGATTTTCCCTTTAAGAGAGCCATACAGATTTAGACCTGAGATATAAATGATATTTTATTATTGCCCTTAGGTTTCAGAAAATATTCATATTTTGGTGGCCTGGCAGATTAAACCGTGGGTGAATTAGCCCCTAAATCACCATTCTTACTTTACCGTTATTGTTATTCTTAACAAGGGCTCTCCCTTCTTTAACCCAGAGGGCATCTTAGCAACTTGCTAAGCACTTTTCATAGATCCTCTCTCTGTGTTTTCAAGGGAAACACTGTTGAGGCCATTTTATGGAAAGCTTTCAGCCCAGCTTTGCGTGGCTGAAGGCTGATACTCCGAAGCCCTTTCAAGCAACTCACCTGCAGGCTGCTCTTTTCCCCCTCTCTTACCCCTTACAAGTCGTTCCATTAATGTTCCTTTTCCCCTGTTCCACTTGTTTTAGAATCGAGACCTTTTCTTCTTTCCAGCTCTACACCACTCCTTCTATGCACTCTCTGATAAAGGACACGGAGCCCCTTAGACAATGCCAAGTCGGCTAGTGGAAAGGGAGCAATTTGACCATATTTTCGTTGTTGGAGACTACATGCGCTGGTGTATTGATTTCTCTCCTCACCAACCAGACTGGTTCTGGGCTTTTTATTTGACTTTCACATCTTTTCTCTCCGCCTATTTATTTCTGTTTAAGACTTCATCTGAAGTGTTTTTGAGTGTCTTATTTGACAGAGATATTATCTTCCAGATGCTCTTCCATATTGGAGCTTTCCATGTCAGAGCTGAAAGGTAAAAGAATATTTACATTAGAACTTTTTATGGAAAGGGTTTTAAATATAATAAACATGGTTCGATTAAATAATATTTCATATTTATTATTGAATATAGTTTGATATAAACTGAAGTTTGGTATAAATCTGGATTCTGAGAGCTCACTTTTACTCTGATAGTTTAGGCATGCCTCAACTGGTGTTTTCATGAAGCTACTTCATAATTTTGAGGCTATTACTCAGGCCTAGAGTCATCAGACAAATCTTTGAGATGTTTGTCATCTTCCTTTTTTATGGGTTTTTTTCTTTTCCCCCCTTTGGTGCTTTCATTACAGCTGTGTCATTTTCAGTTAAGTATCACGAGCAAGGAGACTCTGTCCTATTTTATGTTAGCACCACAATTTAAACACTTAGATACTGACAGAGCCTTTGAATGTTGCCGGGAGGTTGCTGAAAATTGTCACTGTGATTCAGCCTTACTCCCTGATGGTCCTAGTATTGTACATTATACTAATTGTCCTGCTGGGTAGCATTTCAGGGCAGCACCATCTCCTCCCCAGCCTTTGTGGGACCTCTGTTCATCCCACTCCTAAAGTCAAATGGATGATACCACCAATGAAGTAATTACATAGTTATTAAATATGTTACTTCAACAGTGTTTTCTCAATTTAATTTAACTGGGAATTCCAGGGGAAGCTATTTCACTTCTGAGCCACAACTGAAATCCTGATCATAATGCACTTGCTTTTGGACAGCATTTTGATGTCCAAACTGCTTATTTTTAGTGACGCTCTAGGCTTATGCTTTTACTGAGCAACACAGAAGAGCAGGCTGAGAGTTCAGAATGGACAGGCCTTTGGCATGACTCAAGGGCTTAGCCCAGGCTAGTCACTTACCCCTCTTAAAAAATCACTAGAAAAACCGGATTTGTGGGTTGTATCTCCCAAGGAGAGATTCAGTTCCCCAAAGAGATAAGGAGAAAAATTAACTCATGTGGGATTCAGCTATGAATACTTGAGGTGTCTACTTTTTTTTTCTTTTTAAAGTAGGCTCTGTGCCCAATGTGGGGCCCAAACTCACAACCCTGAGATTGAGAGTCTCATGCTCTACCAACTGAGCCAGCCAGGCGCCCTCAAGGCATTTACTTTTTATAGCTCTCTCTTATGTCTCTCCATCCCTGTTTCTGCCATAGGCCGGGAATACGAGCTCTTAGGGGGCTCGTAATTCTTCACTGCTCATCATATGTTAGGCACATACGTGCTAAGCACTTTATCTACATTATTTCCCTTCATTTTTTGGTAACAACCACATGAAATAAATGTTAGGGTCTCCATTTCATAGATTATGAAACAAAAGTTTATTAAAATAGCATGACTCAGAGTGAGGTCCACAAACTGTTCACGTTCCTCAGTGAAGTTAGGACAGAAATTAGGAGCTGACATTTAAGCATGTTTGTAGCCATTTGACACTGCTAAGGTATTTCTATTGTGTTTTGCAAAAGGATTGGTCCACAACAGATTAGACATTACAAGGAAGGAAGGAGAAAAGGAAGGGAGGAGAGGAAGAAAGGAGAGAGGGAAGGAAAACAAAAAATTGATTCTTTGCCAGAAACATCTTGAGACATATGGGCTTAGGCATTTCATGATTAGTCCAAAGTTGCTATCAGGTAGGTGTCAGAACCAAGATTTACACCTCGGCCTGGCTTCAGAGTCCTGGCTCTTCAGCACGACATTGCTGTCTCCCAGGTGATGATGAGTGAAGAAAGAAACACACCGGCACTCTGATGACAATTTGTCATTATTCTTAGGAACTCAGACTTCAGGAGTGGGGGGGACCAATTTAAGAAGAGACTTCTCTCAAAAGGCAAGGCTCTGGCTCCTATGCCATCAACACCACCATCTTTTTGACCATAGTCATCATGGTTAATCTTAATTAAGAGCTAAAAGCCAAGAATCGCTTCATGTGCTTCACGTGATTATCCTGTGATCCCCAGGACAACTCAGCGAGACAGGAACTATCTGGCTCTGCGGCAGCAGAACCAGGATGCACAGCAGATATGCTTGGCCCCAAAGACTGGGCACTTAACCGCTTTGTTGTCCCCTTCCCATTTATAATGCCTGACAGATTCACAAAGATGTCTGTGGAGGAACTGGAGTTTATTTGTAACAAATGGGGATCTGGGCATCAGACTAACTGGGTCTGAATTTGTTCTAGAGCTGTGTAATCTTAGATGTGTTTCTTACCCCCTCTGTCCTTCAAGTACCATGTCTGCAAAATGGGAAAAGCAAGATTTGCCTTAAAAGCTTAGAGTAAGGATTAAATGTTTAAAAACGCATGTCAGCACCGTGTTTGGCCCATACTGTCCTATAAACTGTAGCTACTGGTAATATTATTATAATTATTTACCAGTACATTTTAAGGTTATCACAGAAGTAAAAAAAAAAAATGTAGAGTATTACAGTGGATTTTGCTTCTCAGCCTACTAACTTTTGCTTTTCACGACTATGACGTGTAGCTTTAAGGAGTTCTGTCTAACCCGCCTCCAAGAATGAAATTAACCTAATCCGTCCTTCCTGTTTGCCAGCATGCCACAATCTTATTTCAGGTATCCTCATTTCATTAAATTGCTGCCTTTTTAATATTAAAAGAAGAAGACTTCAAACATCAGGAAGCCCTTACTCTAGGAAGAGTATGAACTTGTTCATTAATTACCAATTAATTACCAAGATATTTATGATTTCCATTCTGAGAATGCCCAGAACACAGCCTAGTACATGGTAGGAACTCAATAAATATCTTCTGAGGGCACCTGGGTGGCTCAGTTGTTAAGCGTCTGCCTTCGGCTCGGGTCACGGTCCCAGGGTCCTGGGATCGAGTCCTGTATCCGGCTCCCTGCTCAATGGGGAACCTGCTTCTCCCTCTCCTGTTGCCCCTGCTTGTGTGCTCTCTCTCTCTCTCTGTGTCAAATAAATAAAATCTTAAAAAAAATCTTTTGAGTAAATGCCTTTAAAAAAAAAAAAAGCTTCTTATTGGATAACTCAATAACATCACCTTATTCTCCTTTCTTTTTTTTTTTTTTTTAAAGATTTTGTATTTATTTATTTGACAGAGAGAGACACAGCGAGAGAGGGAACACAAGCAGGGGGAAGGGGAGAGGGAGAAGCAGGCTTCCTGCTGAGCAGGGAGCCCGATGTGGGGCTCAATCCCAGGACCCTGGGATCATGACCCAAGCCGAAGGCAGACGCTTAATGACTAAGCCACCCAGGCACCCCCCTTATTCTCCTTTCAATCCTCTTTAAGTCTGACTTTTAAAAAATGTATGATTAAAACAATTTGACCGTTGCTGTTTTTCTACTAAAAAAAGCAGCACTGGTGCTGAGGTGGGGACAAGGATTCAACAACATTCTGGGTTTAAATGCATTAAACAGAAAAGGGCAGCCTGGGGCTACTTCAGCTATAGGTGTGTCCCCTAGTCCCAGAGCTTAGTTGAGCCTCCTCTCTTGGTACCGCCTTCTGGGAGTGCTGAGCTGTGAGTTCCGTGTGGGGAGTGTCCAGCCACTGAGTCACTGTTACACGGCCATGACTCAGATTCTCTTGGCACCAGACTGATTCATCAGATCCTGCCATCCTATCACGACTCGGTCCCCTTGCAGCGGCCACTGTCCCGCCGGCCCCATCTGCCAGCGTTCTTCCAGCGGTGCAGGTAAGGAGGACTGTGCTCTGGGAGCAGCAACCTTGAGCCCGGATCACCCCCTGCCCTCAGCTGACGGCTTCCTTGGGCGACTCTGCAGAACTCTGGCTCTCCTGCCTTTTCTGCCGCTGCTATTCATTTATGGACCTCTCATCTTTCTACACGGATTCAAAAGACTCCCGTCTCACTGACCTTTTTTTGGGTAATAAACTAAAGAAAGTTGATGTTTGACTAAACAAAATGTGTTATCCTTGTTGCCATAATCTGACTGTGGGACTCTAGCCTAATCTTTGACTCAGAACCTCCTCATCTGTGAAGTGAGCCAATGTTTTTGGCTTGGAGACCCGATGCTCTGAGAATCTGATTCAGTGGCTCAGGGTGCAAATGTCTACATTCTTAGAAACTCCCGAAGTCATTTGGATGATCACGGGTTTGCCCATCATCAGACTAGATAATAATTTCCAAGGACCTCCTAGCTCATGATCTTTTTTTCCCAACCAAGTTGCTTTGAGCTGAAATAGGAATGTATTCATTGCATAGGTTTAGATGGACTACAAAAAGGTACAAAAATTCTTATAACTTTATTTCAGGAAATATGAGATGCTTGTATCTTTCTTTAGCCAAGTTTACCTGGGCCACTGCAGAACTGTTTACATTTAAATTCCCATTTGTAAGGAGGAAATTCTATCCTGAAAAATGCCAAACTGAACAGAAGTGCCCAGCCAGAGCCTAGTTCTCTGTGGCCTCGCCTGACCCAGTACAGCCAGTGTCCCCAGAGAGAACCCGTCACTGGGTCAGCAGGACTCAAGGGCTCCCTTGTCATTCACAGCCTCAGCCAGCAAAATTCAAGGGAGTAGCACTTCCTGCCTTGTTGTGTGGCTACCAACTGCATCAGGAAACACAGCTTGTCAAATTATATTTTCTGGCAGAGCCCTCCACTGAAATAGCTACATTATCTATGACATTAGTGACAAGGCCAAAGGTGAGAAAATACACATGAATTTATTCCCTCAAATATTCAGAAGAAGGCAGGGAGGCCAGGTGTTTCCTTTCTAAGTGACAAAGAGCCTGGGAACAAAAGGTAGGAGGAACAATTTTGAAAGATCCACTTGGACTTCTTTCTCAGTACCGAAGGATATTACTAAGTTTAAGGAGGGCATTCTCGGAATCCTAGAGCAGGGCCTGGTACATAACAGATAATAAACATTAAACAAATATGTGAATCAGAGAGTTCTGATAATCGGAAGATCTTTATCTGCCGAGAGTTGGCCCGGGAAAAACTCACTAAACTAGAAGCTCAGAAAGGTAGATGTTGGATCTTATTCATTTTATGAGGCTTGGCAAAATTATCTGTAAATCTTTGTTGAAATGAATTGGCCAAGAGCTCTTCTAGTTAGGGGCAAAATGTGAGGCAACATAGCAGCAGCCATGGAGGTTAAAGGAGTCTCTCTCTCTCTATCACAAATCCAGCCTTTCTTAAACAATCATTTCCTGATTCATCGATGACGTGAGCAAACCTAGAGAAACAGCACTACTTAAGGCAATGGGTTTATGGACATTAATTTGACAGGACTAAACACTGAACAATTTGTAACAGTGAAAAATTGAATTGCCCTAAATATCTAACAATGGGGAACCTGTTAAATAATCTATGATGTTTTCACGCAATTATGTTTCAGTTAAAATCATGTTTTCAAAACCACTTGTTGTCATGGGGAAATTAGCGTATGTTAAATCAAAAAAATATGGTAGCAGAAACTGTTGATTTCCTAGCCATACCATTTCCCTGTTTCCTAACAATACAATTTTGTTGAGCTTTCTGTCCGCCTCCGCATTGCTGTGTGCTTTGGGGGAAGCAGGTATCAGCCCCGCCCGAGGGATAGAATCATCCGCCGGGGCCATGAATTCCCCTTGGCAGGGGCTGGTTGAGGCACAGGTAGGTGTGTGGTTCATTGCCGGCCAGTGAGGTGGTTGGAGGGGAGGGAGACTTCTGGAAAGGCTTTCCTCCATCTTGAAAAGAGACACCAGAAGCTCAGATCCTATATGACATGTTAGTGAGTCTGCAAATGATGAGAGCACTGTGGCAGGCTCCATTCCCTTGGCCTGGGCTGAGCCCACGTGCCGGGAGAACGCAGAAAGGTAGGAAGGCTCTAGAGATGGCCGGCGCTGCTGATCTGCTGATCAGTCAACCTTGGAGTCATTAGCTGTAGGTCAGTAGCCAAAAGTCAGCTCTGTGATCAATTTCCTATATGGCCAATTTGCTGAATTTACTCACTTATTTTAACTCTTTAGATACAGTTGACTGATTTTCATTCTGTCTTCATAATAGCACTTAAGGAATATTAAGTTTGTCCTGGTTCCAGTTCCTTGTTGCTGTATCTTGAGGTGAACTATTGATGGATTGTCCTGCTTAAAAAGTCACCTTATCTCTGGATTTATGTGAGCCAAAAGAAATTTTATTTCTTTAAAACTAATGAATATTGAGTCCAGATTTTTTCTGACTTGTAACTAAAAGCATGCTAATACAATGTAGGTTAAGAGGGAGAGTGAGGAGGGAGAGGAATTATCTCTCACTTAATTTCTGGGTTGTAAGAATGGGATATGGCTGACTTGTGCATTTATTATATTCATCTTTGTACTTTTCCACATTTTCCAAATTTTTAATAATGAACACGTATTGCTATTTTGAATGGAGTGGAAAATTATTCTTAAAATACCTGTGTAAGTGCTATAAATGGTGTAAGTGCTAATCTCAGAGGGTTATAAGATCACTGAGAATTGGGAAGAAGTGAGTCCATGGCTCCCGATCTGGTGGAGGAAAACTAGAGGAACACTTTCGTGGTATTTATTGTCTCTTCTCTGACTGAGGCTTTACAAATATGTAATCGCCTTTCATCATTGCCGTGGTCTTGAAAGTCTATATTATTTTTTTTTTTTTTAAGATTTTATTTATTTATTTTTTGAGAGAGAGAGAATGAGAGACAGAGAGCAGGAGAGGGAGGAGGGTCAGAGGGAGAAGCAGACTCCCTGCTGAGCAGGGAGCCCGATGCGGGACTCGATCCCGGGACTCCAGGATCATGACCTGAGCCGAAGGCAGTCGCTTAACCAACTGAGCCACCCAGGCGCCCCTTGAAAGTCTATATTATTGTCTCTGTTTTATAGAGGTAGGAACTGAAGATGTAAAGCTCACACTATCAACAAATATTGGAACCTCAATTTTAATGCAGATCTTATGTTAAATACCGTGTGTCAGACCCTCATAGATGACCTTTCTGGAGTGAGAAATCACAGAATGTTAGACCTGAAGAGATCATTCCGACACAGAATTGTCGTGATGGTTAAGTGATTGAAAACTGACACAAAGTATAAGCAAACACGGATTTGATTGCCTTATGAAGTGAGGAAGGAACAGAGTGGACCAGCATCAGCTTGGCTGGACCCAGGAAGGTGTCAGCCTGTACAGGAGGTGTTAAAACTTTCCGTCTATGAAAGGAGAGAGTGTCCCAAGGCTGCAAAAAGGGAAGCATAGGAAGTAGGCCTCCAGAATACCTCTGCAAGCCTCCTGTAGCTCTGAAAGAAGCGAATTCCCAACGTCAAAGTGGAGTGAGGGTAAAGTCAGTCCAAAAACCCATCCAAATACTTGTGAGAAAGATCAGCATCATTTTGTTTTTTTGTTTGCCTTTTACTGTTGTCCTCAGAGAAATCATATTGCTTAAGAAATCTGGACACAGCTACTCCTTCTTTGTTCCCACAGACAGAGGAACCTAACTCCCGCTTCCTGTCATCCAGCAGTAAAGAACACTGACCACAGGGTGACCCTTCAATGTAAGGCTTTAATTAGCATTAGCTGCAGCCTGTTTTCCAACTCCGTGCAGAATATTTATATTTTAGAAGCTTCTGATTATACAACTACTGTAAGAAAGGAGAGCACCCATTTTCTTTTTCCTCACTTAGTCCCTAGATCAGGAGTGGGTAAATTTTTTCCTGGGTCAAATAGGAAATACTTCCAGGGGCGCCTGAGTGGCTCAGTTGGTTAAGCCTCTGCCTTCGGCTCAGGTCATGATCCCAGAGTCCTGGGATCGAGCCCTGCATCTGGCTCCCTGCTCTGCGGGAAGCCTGCTTCTCCCTCTTCCTCTATCTACTGTTCTGCCTACTTACACTCTGTCAAATAAATAAATAAAACTTAAAAAAAAAAAAAAGGAAATTCTTCCGGCTTTGCAAGCCATATGGTCTCTGTAGCAACTCCTCGGAGTCACTGTGGTTGAAGTGCAAAGGCAGTTGTGGACTATATGTAAACAAATGAGCATGGCCATGTTCCAGTACAATTTTATTTTTAAAAACAGGAAGCAGGCCAGATTTACTTTGCAGGTCTTGGTTTGCCAATCTCTGTCTTGGATCACTGATTTTTCTTTCCCCCCATGACAGAACAAGAGAATTTCACATTGTATATGGGTGTATTCTATGTTAATTATTTTGATGATTGCCTAAAGCAATCAGTATGAAAGGGGAATTATTGTTACCCATTTTGTGCTTCTGTTCCATCAAGGCATGGAGCTTAAAAATTTTAAGTTAATAAAACTATTTCAATAGAAAAATGATTTAATGTTTTAAACCTTGTAGTTCAAATGTAAATTTGATTCAGAAAAAGAGCGATGCAATCTGAAGAGTGAGAAAATGGAGAGATCATAAGTTTGAGAAGCCAATAAGTTATATTTTCCTGACTGTGGAGGGGAAATTGACAAATGAAATTGATAGAATAGCTGCTATTTTAAACCTCTAGGAATTCTTGGGGCGCCTGGGTGGCTCAGTTGTTAAGCATCTGCCTTCGGCTCAGGTCATGATCCCAGGGTCCTGGGATTGAGTCCCACATCGGGCTCCCTGCTCAGCGGGAGCCCTGCTTCTGCCTCTCCCACTCCCCCTGCCTTTGTTCCTCTTCTTGGTGTCTCTCTGTCAAATAAATAAATAAAATCTTTAAAAAAAATAAAATAAATAAAAAACCTCTAGGAATTCTTGCCCAATGACAATGTGGCATTCAAAACTTGTTTTTTTTTTTTTTAAAGATTTTATTTATTTTATTTATTTGACAGAGAAAGACACAGCGAGAGAGGGAACACAAATGGGGAGTGGGAGAGGGAGAAGCAGACTCCCCGCCGAGCAGGGAGCCCGATGCGGGACTCGATCCCGGGACTCCAGGATCATGAC